AGAGAAAGATGGTACAATTGAGTTGGTTGGTTGAAAGACTCCACTGGCCTTCAGTACTGATGGTGGAACACAGTCCTTGCAGCCTTCTGACCCTTTCATTCCTGTTTACAAAGGTCGTTCGAGACCCAGCTGTCTCGAGTGGAAGCCGAACTGCTCAGAAGAGAGGCCCCTCCCTCGTATGGACAATTGATTGCTCAGGGCTTAATCCCACCCGTGGAAGATTTTCCAGTTTGTTCACCTAATCAGGTATAAGGCAGATTTTAACCGGGTTCATCGTCTTTTAAAGTGTGTATGTAGTAAAGCAGATACTAATTATCCGGACAATTAAAAATATGCATTTCATTATATTATAAACAGAATCTATAAAATTTTGATTTTTATGATTATAATATGATTGCTATTAGACATTTTGCTTTTTATGATAAGTGAGTGCACTGAAATTTAAAAACTTGGACCAGTTTTCTGATTGAATCGAACACTTAGAGATTTAAAAACGAATACTAAAATTAATGTGCTCACCATGTCACTTAACCAGTTTTAAGTAAAAGTAATTGAAGGGAAGTTATTTGCCCCCTCATTTGAAGGAGAATTTCAAGCTGGGTTTTACAGTGTCCAAGAATTTGGTCCACTCTACTTCTTTGGGTTGTAACGTATGTCTCTTAATTCTTCAAATTTCTCAGTAAGTTTTTTTTAAAACTTTACACGCTATAAAAATATACCAAGGTTCATTTTAGTCAGAAGGATTTAAATGCATGTAGATTTTAAGTGTATTCACAAATGTTTATAGAAATGATTCTCCGAATTAGAACTGAAAAAAAATGAATATTTTCTCAGTGACTTAACTCTTTAAAAATAGAACACCATTTCACTGCTGGCACATGTCACCTTATTTAAGTGTTTAGCAAATCCTTGGTAAGTATTTGTAGGTTTTGAACATTTTTTCCAGGAGTGCTTTATATTTAGAATCTATCCTGGTCAAATTTTGGGTGTAAAACAGAAAAAAAAATAAATTATAGTTTCTTTATATTCTTGGCCCTGCCACAATCAGAGTGTCTTTGAAGGTAGGTGACAGACCATAGTTGACTCAGCCCACCAGCTCCCATCACCCTCCGACCCACTGTGCTCTGTGAAGCTCTGCTCAAGCCTGGGACCATTTGCAAGTTCAGGGGACTCCCCAGCTAGGGCCCCCCTACCGGGTTTCCTAGCTCACTAAAAAGCTTTGAAGGGCTCCCTGGGAGCTGTTTGCCCGTGGTGGCATTCTATTACTGTGAGAGGCTACAGATGAAATGACTGAGGAAAGGTGTGCGGGGCAGAGAGTCCAGGCAACCCGGTGGACCTAGCATTGCTCTGTTTACACCTGTGCGGCAATATTCCAGAGCTGCTACCTACCAAGGACACACACCTGAGCCCCCATCCAGACTCCCATAGTCATGGTTAATTGTATGTGGCTAATGGAAGTCTGTACCCTCCTGAAACTGTCCCCTAACTCAACAGAGCCCCACCCTAAGTCACAGCATTGAGCTGCCTGCCAGTCCCCGGGGAGATGATGGCCTTTTTCTATCAGCTGTGACACTTGAGAAGCCAAGGTCAGACACAGGCTGTGGGAAGGCTGGGTTCTATATTGTTCCATTCTACAGAGCTAGAAGTTATCCTCATGAGGGAATTCTCTTTAAACAGCACTGAACAGTAAACTAGCCTCTGTGTTAATGAGACCAAACTCTCAAGTTTGAAACTTCTGGCAACAAATGATCATCTTTCCACAGTTTTTCAAAGAAAATAATTGTGTAATTTGCCATCCAGTATAAATAAGAAATGTTTCCGGGGAGGTTTTGCTGCTTCACAAGTTAAACTGTAGACAGTCATCCACCAAACATCCACGATAGTTCCCTTGTAGAATCTAATGTTAAATTGTCCACCTTTATGAGTAGGCTTTGAACTGGGTAGAGAATGCCTTCTGGTTGTGGCCGCCTGTAATGATAGCATTTGTATAAAATGTGCTGAGGGTCTGCCAGCCTCTGCTCACTGCTGTGTGGTGTAACCTGTGCTCACTTGACCGTGGCTTGAATACTAGGTGCTCAGGACCAGGTCTGTGGAGAGGTTCTTTCTAAACTTGAACTACTATTGATTTTTAATTTTGTAGTTAGATATTTCTTAATTGGTGAAAAAAAAAAAAAACTCACACATTTTGTACTGCAAGTCCATGTGTGCTGATAGCCAAATTTCTTAGTGGTCGTGTGTATTTCCTAAAGCTAGACTAGGAAATGCTCCTTAGTGGTGGTGTGTGTTTTCCTAAAGCCAGACTAGGAAATGCTCCTCAGTGGTGGTGTGTTTTCCTAAAGCTGTTTTACGAAATGTTCCTGCAGTTGTGGCCTCTTGGTTTTTGCTGAATTGTTTTCAGACTGTGCAGGAATAACTATAGGACCATGACAAACGGATGGAGAGCCTGAGCTAGCATGCCTATCTTCCCTGTTTGCGTCCCTTTTGTTTCTGTGAGAGGAAGAGCCAGAAGCTGGGCCTTGGCTGAGAGGTCAGCCAGCCTTCAATGAGACAACATAGGATTTTAAATGCTCAATCCAGGTTCATGAAAGCTGTGTTTGTTCCAGCTCTGTAACCACTAGGTGGAGCTTAAAGACTATTTAAATGCTGCACATTTTAAAACAATCTAACACTTTGAGCCAGAACAAAAGAATTTTTCTTTTAATTACATTTATTCACTATTGTGTTTGGAAGAGGGGGGCTATCTGCTATGGTACCACCTGTGGAGGTCAGAGGACAACTCAGATGAGTCTGGTCAGCTCTAGGTATCCAACTTGGGCAGCCAGGCTTGGAGGCTCCTGCCTTCACCTGCTGAGCCATCTCGCTGGCCCCTAGGTCTTCTTTTCGTTGAGCAAGATACTTTTATTATGTGCTAATGAATCTGTGAAGCATTCCACATTCTAAAGTCTATAATTTTTTTAAATTATCAGTTTTTAAAGACTAATGTGGTTTATGTTTAACCCTAAACTGAAACTAAAAGCTTAATTCTTAAAATTGAGAAGGAATCCCAATGTATACTTTTGATTTCTACTGTGTAGTGTGTTCTGTCCTTTATTTGCAACAGTAAAGCTGAATTCTCAGTACTCATTCACTCGACCCTGCCTGGAAGACCAGCTCTGAAATGCAATTCCCACATTGACAGGACAGTCCAGCCTTGTAAATCAAGGCTTGTTTGTTTTTGTGTTTGTTTTTTTAAGAGGATAAAGGATCAAAAATATAAACCATATTGGGTCACTCAGCGAAGGACGGTGGGGGCTTGTTGATCTTCCTGGTTGTAAATTTATCTGTTTTCTAAACTTGGCACAGTTTAATTGAGGTTTGAAATAAAATAGCTGTTGTAGTTGGCATAACTACCTGTCAGTCCTGCCCACTTGTCCGGTCTGTACCTGAGAGGAAGAGTATGGATGAGGAAAGAATCAGGCTAGAGACAGAGGGCATCTCAGTGAACCCTGGGATCCACCTTAACTTTATTGCTCAAAATTCTTATATATCGCAACCAAAAGACGGGGGAAAGGCAGAAGACTTTACCATGATCCAAGGAACAAACAGACTTAATTACTTCCTTAATTCTCCAAACATTTAGTGAGCACGCCTTAGATCAAACCTCTTCTTATCTGGACTTGAGGGTTAAGACTTGATCTAGTAACCTTAGATCAAGTATTCTGTCATCAAGGCAGAACACCCACACCTTAGACCAGACACCCTCCAGTATAGCCACGCCTTAGACCCTTGCTCTTAGGCCTTTGACCTTGAAAGAGCAAGGATAGTTTTGAACTCTCTGACCTTAAGTCAAGATGGAACGGAGCCACTTCTATGGGCCTCCACAAGTTTGTATAGTAAATATTACCTAAAATTCAGAAAGTATCTTAGTTTCTACCACTACGATAAAGATCTTCACTAAAAGCAATTGGGGAAGAAAGGGTTTATTTGGCGTACATATCCCAGGCACGGTCTACTGAGGAAAGTCAGCGCAGGAACTGAATCAGAGGCAATGGCGGAGTGCTGCTCACTAGCTTGCTTCTCCTAGCTTACTCAGCTTGCTCTGTTACATAAAGAAGGACACACCCAGACATGGCACTGCCTACAATAGGCTGGGACCTCCCACATCAATCACTGGTCAATAAAATGTCTACAGAGTCACTCACAGTCCAGCACAATGAAGGTATTTTCCCAGTTCAGGTTCCCTCTTCCCAATGACACTAGTTTATGTCAAGATGGGGAAAAAAAACTAACCAATATAGAAAGTAACGTGTACTATTTGTTTAAATTAGTGTGGTAAAGGTTGCAAAATTCCTATCTGTAGTGATATTTTTGCTGCCAAGGTTTGCCACTAGAATTTCCTAGGAAATGGCTCCCAATTGATAAACTCAGAAGAAAAGTGAAACTGGAAATGGCTAAAATTAAATGTAGAAAAGTGCTATTGCTTTCTCTTTCTAACACTGAAAACTGCAAATAGATCAAAGGAGGAAAAACATCTCAGGGAGGAAATATTGAAAACTTGCCAAAGCTATTATCAATAATATAATAAATAAGGAAAACCTTAATAAATTGTAAGCTTTATACTGCAAAAATTCAAATTTAATGGTGATATTTCTAGTGAAATAAAAGTTTTTAAGGAACTGAAATTTATGCAGTAACAAGAGTTGATCAATTAATTAAATTGGCTTAACAGTATTCCCCCAGATTTTGCTTTGGTGGCAAATATTTAACATGTATAATTGTCACTAACGACGAGGCTTTGCTACTGTGTTAGGATGGGATCCCCAGAGAGACTGTGCAAAGCTGGAGCAATATCCATCCATTGTTTTCTAACTTCACAATTAAACTAGTTTTAGTTTAAAAGCGAAAAGATGCAGGGTGATTTTTTTTAATTATTATTATATTATTATATGTTAGCCTGCATGGTTACGTTAAACAACGCGTGACTCTCTACGAGCTAGAGTTCACTGGGTTAGCAGTTGAAAATGCATTATGTGTTTGTTTTCTTCAATCATGCTCTTCCGTTTGTCTTATATTTTGTTTTAAATCCTGGTACTTTAGTTTAATAGTGAGATATGGCTGCTTTAATTCATTGTCTACGTTAAAAGGTTTGTTCTGTTTAATAGAATCTTCCATGCTCTTTGACATCATGTAATTTATTATACTAGATGCTAAGGTTGTTAATGTACAAAAAACGAGAAAGGAAACAAACCCACATAATCACCTCTTTATTTGCATAACATTGTCTGCTGCTGGATGGACCTGTCAAAGGGAAGAGAATTCCCGCTCACATTTAACACACAATGATATAAAACTGACGTAGAGTTAGATACATTGCTGTCAGAAAACAAACTTTTCTAGATTTTTCTAATGCTGACTTTAATACTCTAATATGGTACAGACCAAATGGTAAAATCCCAAGACATTTCTGTTTTCATCTCCATTTAGGGACAGAATTAAGCGGACGAAGATACTCTACTATGCATTAAATTTTGAACTTTATAAAACATGTACAGAAGTTGTACATGCTAAGTTCCACCTGGTAATGTCTTTCTCCAGTACAGGGGTTTGCCTGAGTTGGACCCTAAAGGGTTTGCACTAAAGTCCTGCCAAGGTCTCACACGAGTCTAGCTTGCTGGCATTATCCCTTTAGATGCTAGCATTTGCTACCACAGTGACTATGTATTTCCATAGCTTTGGGGGTGCGGGACCATTTTTATTACAACTTGAACTTGCTTTGCCGGTTTCATATTTATTTATTTGTTGTATTTAAAAACTGCATTATGGTAAGAGTGATTTTTTTCCAGTATATTTTATATACTTGGGGTACAGGGGGGGAGAGTCACCGCTATAATCTTGAAAAGCAAATTAAGAATTTGTTCCAATTGCCCCCCCCACTTTAAGTAGAGTGAATTACAAAACCCCATTATTTTTTTTTTAGTGTCAATTCTTGTTTATTTATTCTTTAGCTGTCTGTGTTAGGAGCTCAATGATTGGGTATGAAGATGTGTTTGTATGTGGTTATTGCTATTTATTACATTTTGAATACTTTGCTGAATGTCATTTTCAAGCATGTTTGAGGTCTTGTGTATCTGTCCTGTATGCCGTCAGGGACACCTGACTAAAATGTTTTAATATGTATCAAAAATTAAAATAATTTTTTTTATTGCCTTGAGGTACTTTTTAAACCGACGTTGCTCTTTATTTTTGTCGACCTTCCTTTTGTACACCGATTCAGGCCGTATGTAATACAGCCGAAGCCATGGAAGAGGGTCGTTCCCGGA